TTGAATAAGAATAAATCACACTTCTGCAACTGAAGATTTGGATGGTGAAATGCAGAATATTTCTGCAGGTTTTCTGAAGTGTAAATCAGCTTTTGCTTGGTTATTGGGTTTGGGGTTTTGAAGGGGTTTTTTATTTTTTAACAAATTGGCTTAATGCCTTGTGCTTGATTTTATAAAGTAGCCAAGCACTGCAGGCTTTTGGCAAATATGCGTGCTTGAACAAATGCTTTTGTGTGTTACACTAATCAGCCTTTGTGTGTGTCACTTTTACCTTCCTCAGTGTTTTTGCATAGCTTCAATGTTTTAATCATTTATTTCAAGTCTTAACTCGGTCTTTAAATACCAATTGATTTTGTTAACTTTCCTGGAAGTTATGCTGGTATGATTCATTCAGGCTTTGTAGGGAACTTGGTTGCTGTTGAAGAGTTTCTAAATTTTGGCAAATAATGGTTGCATACCACTGTCGTTTACAAGATGGCACAGTGTGTGAAAGAACAGGTGTGAAAAATGAAGTAAATAAAATTACTTTTGAAATACAAATTGACATTTCATGGGCTTCTGTTAGGAGGACATCTTTTCTAAACTGTACTAAGTATTTAGTTTTTCTTTTTAGCTGTATGTTTTCCTTTTGAAATGAAATTACATAATAATATTTAACTAACACTTCTTTACATGCCTGGTTTTAAATTAAAATTCATAATTAAGCTTAATGTGAAATTATAAGATTTGATTTAATGCTTTCTTCCAGTATCTGAACTAATGTTCACTGCATTAGAAGGTGCAGTCATCATTGAGAAGCTTTGTTCTTTTAACAAAAGGTATCAAAAATAATTTCATTTAGGGTCATAGAGGTTTAGTTTGATACTGCTGTGATAATGAGTACTATAATTACTTTCAGATAGTTCTTCCTTCCCAGAGGATGAGACTTTTAGTTTTGATGCCTGCTTAAAGCATGAGAGTGACAGTAAAATTAATGCCATAACCTTTACAGCATATTTATTGTTTTTTTGTGTAGTGTCCTACAGGATTTTCTGTAACATCTAAAATAAATGTCTTAGTATGGACAAGCATCAAAGTAGGTTAATTGGGTTCACCTGATATTCAGATTCAGTCTATCAGGACACCAGTTTCATATAAAAGACCTGTGGGTATCTTTCTGTGAAAATTGCTTTTAAATTATTACGTGTATATGCTCTGCTTCCTTTGATTGTTAGAGACCAATTTACAGTGTAGTTTTTTTCCAGTTTATTTGTTATTTTTGCTTCTTCTGGTTGAAAATTCATTTATCCTTTCATTCTGTGGTAACATAGGGAGTAGTATAGGCATAATAGAGCTTATTTTATGGCAGTAAGATAAATTTTACCTTTTAATTCTGTCCAGCTTCCACTCCGCTTCACTTGAAATTCTTGTAATAGATTTCTTTTCCTCTCTGACCAGTCAGCAGCAGTTCAAGAGAACTGTTTTGAGTTCTGCAGTACTGTGACTTGAATGATTTTATTTATTGTCCTACGGTAGAGTTACAAATTGAGCAAAACAGATTTTGATATTATACAGAATTTTAAAAATTTTATCATTGGGATAGTCTCTCAGGTGGAAAAAAATTGATGATAATGCCAGATAGAAATTATTAATAACATCTTCTGTATTTGGAAAGAACTGGTATTGGACTCAAGTATAACCAAGGAGGACTATAAGAATGTTTACCTCCTCAGTATTAAATAAAAACAAGAGGCATCCTGAATTTTTATTCATGTCCAACCTAAAATTTGTTCTGGATGTAAGAGTGTAAGCCAGGTACAAAATTTAGTTAATAATTTCATTTCTAAGGTTGTCTCTTTTTTCAACATCAGCGTGTTTTTTTTTTATGGCAAGTAGTCATGCCAAGCCAGACTTATGGTCAAATGAAAATAAAATCGATTCAGCTGAGAGCTGGTATAGGTAGCTCTATAGATGTTATATCCTTCAACTTCTGTACTGTGCATTAATTCAGAATTTCAGAACTTTTTAATAAGGCTGCAGTTTGATGCATATCCTAAACATAGAGATCTGTAGTTGTTAAGTAACTGTTAAACATGTTACAAGTTGGCTGAAGGATGTCAGAAACTGTCAATGAGAAAGGAACATGAATCATTATACTTGCAGTAAGGTTGTGGTGGGACTGGTTCCAAGACTAGCACTAGGCAGTGATGAAAAAGACAGTACACTGTTGATAAATGTGAAAATAGTGTAAAAAGCAGACAGGACAGTCACACAAAGTTATGTGGTTTGCTTTGTAAACTGTATTTGTATTCAAAGAAAACATACTGAAATACAGTCATACATACAATAATGTACAGAAAAAATTGAATGAGTGACAAGAAGCAGCTTGCCCTGACTTCAGAATCTTGAGGTGTTCAGTTTTTCCAAAAAGGAAAGTTACTTGATTAAATATCAGCAAAGATAAAGGGCAGTGAAAGTTTCTTCAGTATAACAACAACTAAAAAAATATTAATGAATGGCTAGAAGATGAAAAGTTAATTTGAGAAATTATACCTTTTTTTTTTTAATTGACAGTAGCTGATCAATGTATTAGTCTGTCAAATAAGCACTGTATTGTCTAGAGCAAGACCGTTATCTTACTGCAGTTAGGGTTGAATTCGAATCAGAGATGACTGTACAAAATGTTTGGATCTGTATGGTCCAGTTTTCTGTCCTAGCATTAGGGTTTGTAAATGATTGGAAGAAGATGTGGAGCTTGTGTTTCCACATGGTATTCTAAGAATTATTGATCCATATCCTGGAAGTCTGGTTTGTTTGCTATAATTCTGAGAGGAATTAGTAACTACAAGTGGGGCACCCTATTAAAGGATTTTGTGCTCCCTACAACTGGGAGGGACTGTGAAAACCTATAAAAATGTGACTTCGGAATAATAATTTTAGGGAACCTTCATTTGGACATCATTTCTTACTTTTTTTGTTTTTTTTACAAGAATGTGCATTGCTGTAATTACTTCAGTATGTTTGCAATTGTTGGAAATCCTAAAGTGGAAGAAGAACTTCTGACTTCGTTTCTGTAAAAAGATCTTGTCGAGTAGTACGGCCTTAAAGAGGGACGTCTTACACTGTGGGTGGCACGTTGAAGACCCACACTGGTTCCTAGAAGTGTTTTGCCATTCCAAAATTACATCCGTGTGGGCTGTTCCATTATTGCAGGTTAGGAGGTAGTTGGCTATGTGTTAGCACAGCGTGAAGCTACCTGTAGGTGAGCTGACATACGTGTGTATGCTGGGTCTGGCAGCTGAGCGGTGAGCTCTCTGAAGCACCACGGACAGAGGCTCTTGGAGGCAGCCCGGGGATCTGCTGGTGAGTGTTGACAGACCTAGGCCAGGTCAATGTGGAAGGGCTTCTTATTACCTGTGGCTCAGCAGAGAGCATGCAGGTACCAAAGAGCTGTGGGAGATCAAAGAGCACACATTTGCTGTGGGAGAGGTCTCCTCACAGCAGCCATGCTCAGTTTTCTTTTATGCTTTTGGTATTGAACTTCCTGGACAAACTGAAGCACAGGAAGTTCCCTCTGAACATGAGGAAGAACTTCTTCCCTCTGAGGGTGACGGAGCCCTGGAACAGGCTGCCCAGGGAGGTTGTGGAGTCTCCTTCTCTGGAAATATTCAAGACCCGCCTGGACAAGGTCCTCTGCAGCTTGCTGTAGGTGACCTTGCTTCGGCAGGAGGGTTGGACTAGATGACCCACAGAGGTCCCTTCCAGCCCCTACCATTCTGTGATTCTGTGAAATGGAATTGGTTTTGCCTCTTTTATACTTTACTACTGCCCACAGAACCACCTCCTTCCTGGAACCTCTCCATTGCTTTTTGAGAGTCAATTGCTTGATAGTAAAGAAACATATTCAAGACTATTTATTCAAAACCTATCTTTTGGCATTTCATGTGCTCAGAAGGGGGCTCTGGAGTGCGTGTCTGGAATGCTTTTTATGTAAGATTCTGCTAGCTGTTAAATTGGTCAGGAAAGTAAACAAACTCCACATCTGCACCGCTGGCTCTGATCATGGGAAATGTTATAGATATGCACTGATATGAAAGCCTAGATCCAAGTAAATTCCCAGGTAGTTGGAGTTTCATCTGCGTCAGTCAGTAGACTTGTCTGTTACCTTCCCAAAGCCTCCAACTGCATCAGGAGAACAAGAGTTTTATACCCTGTGTGATTTATAACATTTAAGTGGTGTTCAGCTGAACCAAACTATTGTGCAGCCATGCTAGACCATTTTATGATGAACAAAATCTAAGTGGATAATAACGCAATTTTATATTGTCATTATATTATACTGTGTCTTTCTTACTTGACTGTTGAATCACGCTTGATCAAAGCTTAAGCAACACACTGCCTGCAATGGAAAGAAAAAGCCAACTCTTAAGTTACTGGGTGGGCACTTGATGTAATGGTATTTTATGTCAAACATTATGCATCAAATTTTGCGATGAGTACCAACGTCAAATTCAGGAGAGGTGGCAGTGTAATGTTTGCTTCACAAATGCAAGCTAATATCTTCATTGTAGTATCCATGGAAGATTCTGCTTGTCAGTCAGTTATATGGGATCCATGCAGTCAGATGTTTGAAGGAAAATGCTTGCTTAGCCCGACGTTGTCTGGGATTCTTCAGAACTGGGGTTCATGACATGTCCTCTCTTCTGGCTTTAACAGGGGTTTTCAATTACAAGAAGCCCAAGCTAGTTGTACCCAGTGTTGAAATATGGAGAGTGCATATAAGAGTATGTGTGATCCAGAGAAACACTTGCTTTGAAACTCTGGTGGTGTTTTGCATGAGGTATGGACATACTGGGATCCATTCTGAAACAGAATTTCAGAAAACTATTGCCATTGTCCTGGGTTTGTTTTTTTGTTTGTTTTGTTTTGTTTTGTTTTTTAGTTTATGAAAAATTACCAGAACTTTTAAGTATCTGTATTTCTTCTTTCCAGGAACGTGGTCACATCTATTAAAGGGCATAATGCAGAATCCTTTAACTTTTTCTGCAGGTATAGTATACTTTCTATATTTTTTTAAGAAATTAGATGCTTGTGATTCAAAATGTGAAAAAAAAATCATCATCATTAATAAATCACTGTATAACTCATGTCTACTACCCTAATATGATTAAAAAAAGAGAAGCCATTCTACTGCAGCATTTATCACTAAACAATTGCAACAGGTAAGATTATTTTCTTCTTTAGGACATGGCTAATTACTGTTATCGCCTATAGTTGAAATATATAAATCTGCTTCTTGTCTGATTCAGTGGAATTAAGTGTTCAGGGTTTATAATAATTTTTTTATCCTCATATTTGAAAATCATTGTCATATTTGACCCCCATATAATTGGAGGTCAAATCTATTTGCAAGTTATGCTACAAGACTAGCACAAACAAGGAAATAAACATTTTTTAAACATAAACTTAGATTTTTAGGTGTCTTTTCTCCATCATTCCTATCCTTACTAACATTTTTTTGTGTTTAACTATATTTCTTCTGTGTTTTGTATCTTCAGAAGTCATCTTTTGTTGATTTAGTTTTCAGTAGGGTTAGCATCTTGAATTTTTCCGAGTTAGTAGTAAGGGTATTTGTGCTGCAACTCTGTATTCCCAAGCCTCTAAATGTGCAGCCGTAAATTTAATTTCCTTTCCCTTTTGTTCTGTGCCACAATGTTAATGTTTAAATATGATTTTTAACTTGAATGTCATTTTTAATGATACTTCTTAAATGTGAGTGAATGTTTGATGGATATGACATAAGCTCTAATGGACCTTTCAGAACCATTGCAAGTTGTCTGTTAAGTTTCCATTGTTAGTACTTATGTTAATTAAAAAAAGCACGATATATTACTTAACTTGAAGCCTTGAGCTTTTACTGTCATGTAAGTTTATACTTCACCTGTTTTGTGAAGATGGAGTATTTTTATGATACTGTAATAATTCTGGGGAAGCTCTTCCAGCAGAATGTCATGCAAATTGATCTTAGTTGATGAGTTCTGTGTCTAATGGGACTGTTCTTTCAAGGGAAACTACTCACTGTTGTGTAAAGCTGTCCACCCTGCAGTGTACTCTACGTCTGTATGCTGAGGACTGAAATACTTAATTCAAATACTTGAAAGCCTTAATTTATTTTTTCCTTTAAATTACAGGAATTTGACCACAGTTGTAGTCAAATTGAGTGTGTTACCTTTATGTTAAAGCCATTGCTGAGTAACAGGAGGAGAATATAGACTGTGAAGCTGTTTGCAAACTTGAAACTTGTGAAGCATTTGCTCTGAGGTTTTTTTTGAAGACTTTTTTTTTTTCCTAAGCAAAAATACATTCCAGTCAGTATCCTGTTACCCACTTGTACCCAGAGTGACTTATAAGAGCCATGTTGTAAAATTTGGAAGTGAGGTATCATGTTAGAAGTTATAACCAAATCTTGACTAAGAGCTCTATCAGTGTGAAAACAGGATATTCTACAAATATACTAGTCTCAGTACATTTTTTTGTATTCTTTTACTGTCACTCTGTTTGTCCTCGTATCGAGCATAGCTTTTGTTTCTTAAACGTTTTGTGGCACTTTGAAAATGGTGCGGCTATTAGCAATTTATGATGATTTATGTACAACTATGACATTGGTACATTTCTTACAAATAAAAGGTTTGAAAATAAATGGCATTGGAAGTATAACCTATCCATCAGTTACATTCAGTATAGCAGTTTTGCCTTTCTGTGTTTTGAAAGTGCTTGTTATTTTTCAGTTGAGTATGGAAGTAACAGTTAGTGCAAGTTCTTTGAGTGACAACATAAATTCTTCACTGCTACCATTTGTCATGTAATAGCAAGAGTTCTGTAATTTGATACATACTTCTTCAGGTCATCTGTATTTTTCTTGATTTGAAATACAAGGAATGTGATTATAATTTATATAACAAGCAGTTTTAACGCCATGTTCAAACAGATGCACTTTTCTGAATAATGATAAATATTTAATGTATAAGATTTTAATTTTTTCCTAGGAATTATGAAACTATCATTGAAGCATCATATTCTGTCGTTCACACTCATGTTAATATTTGCTGTGGAGCAAGTGCTGGGTTTTTTAATAGTGCTCCATAATGACATAAAATACCAGTGTGCCTTAGAGAACTGAAATACCTTTGGCAGTGACAGATTTATAAAACGTTTTTGTTAAATGACTCCAGCATGAAATAATTGTGTATCTTACACAATTATTGTGCTAAATATGAGGCGGTCCTGGTTTATCTAGGAATTTATTGAATACTTTTTTAAATATACATTGGAGAACTATAGGACAGGCTGAAATCATAGTTTTGGTCCTTGAGTATGTTTATTTTAATTTTTAGAAAGAGCCTATAGTTTTTTAAAAAGTTATAGTACATTTTGTATCCATGTTAGTACGGTCATTTGGTGCTGGGAGATCTCAAACTTCAATTAGCCATGTAAATGTGTTTCTTAGCATCAAGTCTCACTTTGCTGGAACCCCTGCTGCCTTTATATCATTAACATAAATGCAGGTGCAAATAGCATTTATGTACTTTGATAGAAAGCAGTTGGAGACATTTCACTGTGGGACACGACACTTTCGGATTGCGTACATCTGTTCAAATAACGTATCCAAGCCAGTGACATGAATGCGAGGATAAAAACATCTGCCCCTGAGACCATTTGCCATACAGCAGATGCTTACATCTTTATTTATGCAGATGGTTTGTGTGATGAGCTGAGCCATGATGAAAGCAAGAAAGTTTGACAGAGATTTCAGGGCCTTGCTTGGGATGGGAAAATGTGTTTGGTAACAGTGCTTCATTTTCGGGTATCCGCTAAAAGAAGAACATCTGTTGTAAATACTGATGGTTTTAGTAACATGGACAAGTTATTTGGGACATTGACTAGATCAACACAAAATCAGTAATGGATTTTTTTTTTTTTAAAGTTTCTTGAACAAAAGCTGTGCTGCTGTTATAGAAAATACTAAATAGTTTAATAGAAGTAATTAATTTTAACAGGAAGGCTCAGCTGCTTTGCTTCAAGATGTTCTCAAGTTTATACAAAACACTGAACTGACTGAAAAGTTTGCAAAGGCAGAATATTTTGAAATCATAACACAACTCGTGAAGTTGTTTAGAGGTGCTGTAAAACATGTCATGGCTTTGGGGATTTTTCTGAAAAAGCCGTATTTAGTGCTACGAAATGATTAGACAGGTAGTTTAGCCTTCCTGTGGTTTGACAATTACTGTAGGGTAGTCGCCATGAGCTGCAGATCTGCACTGAGCTGGCACTTCAAAGAACGAGCAGCAAGTGGCCCTACGAGGCCCTCCTGGGCGCGGGACCTTGCCCGCGGGGGGCTGCGGGCCTTGCCCTGCCGGGTGC